CTAGGGATTTAATAACAGGTGAGTTCGTGTCCTACCAATAAAACTCGGAAGGAATAGCTGAAATTAAGTCTGAAGTTTGCTGTACATGTTAGTGTTTATAATTATGCAGAACGGTTTAGAGCTTTAGCTTTGCTCTACCATTTACTAGCTGCATGACTTCGGGCAAGTTAACCTCTGCAAACCCCAACTTGCAGACAAACCCCAATTTGTCTCATTTGTAAAGTAAGAGTAATAGCATGTATTTACTTCGTATAATTGCGAAAAATAAATGATTCAGAACTTGGAATAGTGCATGATACCTATTAAGCGCTCAAACAATAAAAGCTAAAACTACTGCTTTTGTTGTTATTTTTAATCTATTTAGGATAGCAATGTGTTGGAGCCAGAGATGCAGATCTCTGAGAGAGATGCAAATCAAGATAAGTTCCCTTACGGTGTCATGAAAATTATATCAGTTTACTCCTCCTATGAGGTAGATGTATTTTGGAAGGGGGAAAAACAAATCCAGATTAGCAGAGGATGGTTTCGATCCATCGACCTCTGGGTTATGGGCCCAGCACGCTTCCGCTGCGCCACTCTGCTACACTGACAGGTGGGCTCATAATTAATAATCAGCTTTTTTCTAGTGTGTCAAGTTTCCAAATCGCAAAATTATGTTTTCGCTTCTTTTTTTTTTTCCAGACCAGTAATCTGTTCGTAATATGGCTATAGGCTTAGGCTACTACTAAGAAAACAGTAAATAAGAAATAGGAAAAAGGCTATTTGGGGTACACTTCTCCTATGTAATATCTGTCACTATGTATTGTGTGAATGTGTACAGTAAATACATAACAGAACGTCTGCTAATATTTCAAATGTCATGTTTTAAAGTTATTGTAAGTTATAGAAATTTAAACACTTCTGAAGAAATAAACGTACTTTCCCTTTTTTCCATGTTGTAATTTGCTAATTCATAATCTGTAGGGGGTCTGGAGCCACATGTGGGGAAAAAAACGGCACATTCATGCACATTTTCAGATACTACTATTAGGGAGTTCACGGAATATCTAGCCTTCTCTGATGTAATGGTTCATTCCCTGTATGAATTTGGGAGAGTAACTGCATTCAGGTTTTCTGCCTCTGGAAATCAAGTGACTTCTTCCGTGATTTGCAGGGAGGGTTGAGGAAATCGTAGAGATCCAAGGAAATTCTATGGAATCGCTTTAGCCTGGAAGAGCTGATCCAAATATGAAGCAGGTAAACTTAGATCATCCACTCAAACCAGACTAGGTCTCTGCGAAGATCTGCTAAGCTTCCGAGGGTTGGAGAGACAGATATGGATGAAAAGATAAGGCCGCAGGTGTGGGAGTGAGAATGGAGAGAAGTCCAGGAGGGTTTAACAATAGGGATGAGTTGCTGAAGAGTATAATTCAGAATATTTGCAATAAAAGAGTGAAAACGTCTCTATAAACCCAGAAATAAGCCCCAAAATACTGTAACATATTCCTGCGTATATCTGCCTATTAAAAAAAGAGAAGGGGGGGCGTTTTGAGGAGGCTAAAGTAATTGAGTATACAAGTGCCTAGGAGAAGCAGGAAAAGCAACTTTTTCCCCCCTGTAATACGTAATGTACTCCCCGCCATACAGTTATCTGAGCCAGCGAGCTAAAAACCGTTGACCCCGACGTGATTTGAACACGCAACCTTCTGATCTGGAGTCAGACGCGCTACCGTTGCGCCACGAGGCCTACGAGGGACTTACTTTTTATTTACCTGTCATTCTGATTCATGAAAATAATTTTGGTACTGGTGAAGACCAGGCAGCTATTAACAGACACAAAATAATGACTAGCTGCCCTCTCGGTAAAATTGCTGTCCACCCAATCACTGATTTTCTCTGCCTCCGAATTGCTTCATTTTCACCTTTTCTTGTTTATATCCTTCCGTTTCTAACCTAGTTTTCTCCGTATATTCCAAATATGGAAGTTTTGGGAGTTTCGTTGTTTTTATCTTTTTAGAAATACATTCTGTTGAAGGTCAGTCGCTTTGGAATGGGGTTGTAGAGAGGAGGTAGTGAAGCGGAAATAATGAGGATCCTTCCTCCCCCGACTCCTCATTAAGGAACGCTGATCAAGGTGAGTTTTAAATTAGTTTCCAAAGTTGACTGCAGGTCACAACCAGTGTTTCCGTTAACGAATTCACGCGAGGGCTGGCAGGTTGTTTGTGCTGCATCTTTTCTGCGAGATAAAGGCGCCTCCCTGTAGCCTCCGTTCTCAGCTGATGAGAGAGTTGATTTCATACACCGACAATTCTTCAGAATCAAGATCACTGGATCTGAAACTGACCCTAAAAAGAATAAGAAATCCTGTCATCTGGAGTGAGTGGGTTATTCTGGCACTGTGTTTTGTTTGGCTGGTTAAAGAGTCTGCCTTGGGTAACCAGAGATCGGAATTTTCTAAAGTCAGCAGGGTTTGTCTGGGGACCTCGAATTTACATATAGACGATCTCCGCAAATAATGCAGGGGCCGCTTTGAACTCTTAGGAAAAGATATTCCAAACAGTGGTCCACTGCTATAAAACACGCATCTTTCACTGAAAATTAAGGTCCTCCCCGCCGCCCCGCCCCACCCTTCCCCCCCCACCCCCCCCCACTCTTCCCCCCACCCCCCCCCCGGCTTGCTATGGACTAGAGAAAGGTTTCCCTTTCTTCTGAAAAATCCGTCCAAAGCCCAAGGGCTCCAGCTGGCAATTAAGGACCATAAACACTGAATTGAAGAAGTTTGTGTTTGACCTGTAGATATCATAGTAGCTTTGGTAGGTTGTGTGCTGTTATTCGACTGTTAACAAGCTAAGGTAGTCATTCTACCAGTTCGTGGAAAGAGATTGGGGGCTTGGGTGAGGGGTGCGTTGGGAATCAGAAGCAGTGGGCAACGAAATGAACGGGCGTTTCAGAATATAAATAACCGAGGGTTTAGGAGGATCTGCAGCAGCTTACAGAATGAAAGGATATTCCAGATTTGGTGTTGCCAGAGAATCCAGTGTTGACTGAGAATCTGCTGTTCACTGAAAGTTGAAATACATACTTTTCTCATCTATAAAATTGTAATAACAATAATATCCACCTCACAGGATTGTCGTGAGTTTATTTACATAATGTGCGCTAAAAGAGTTTATACATGCTTAGAACAATGCTTGGCACATCAATTGCTCTCAATAAATGTTACTATCACTATAAAGTTTGGTGAAATTCTTACTTTGTTTTTTTGTTTGTGTTTGTTTGTTTGTTTGTTTTGTTTTGTTTTGTTTTCAGAGACAGGGCCTCTCTCTCTCTCTCTCTCTGTTACCATGCAGTGGCTCCAACACAGCTCACTGAAGCCTCAACCTCCAGGGTTCAAGCCATTCTCCTGCCTCAGGTTTCCTAGTAGATGGGACTACAGGGCCACCACTCACAGCTAAAGTTTGGTGACATTCTTAAATGCATTTGCTCACACCACCAGCCTCATTCAGCAGAGAGTGTAGTAAAATTTACACTTATCATTTCTTGATTTCTTCCATAAATTTACATTTTGGTGTTAGCAAACAATTAAATACATTTGATCATTTTAGATGTTAGAATTTTTCTGTAACGAGGATAAAAAAAAGTAAAAATGGTCATCATCCCAGGTTGCAGCTAAAATTGGACAAGACATTGACAGCATCCAGCTATGGAGAAACCTGGAAATGATCACCAATTTAGATCAGCGACTGGAATGAAAAACTCAGTGAAATACTTTAACTTATAGAAGTTTATTCGCTCATTTTAATTGGTATTTAATGGTGATTCACAGCACAGCAGATTTCTGTCTGGTTATTTATAATGAATTGTTTCTAACATAACAGCTAATCTGGGCCCAGCATGGTGGCTCACTCCTATAATCCCAGCACTTTGGGGTGCCAAGGCGGGTGGATCACTTGAGGTCAGGAGTTCAAGACCAGACAGGACAACATGATAAAACCCCACCTCTACTAAAAAATTCAAAAATTAGCCAGGTGTGCCTGTGAGTCCAGCTACTTCGGTGGCTGGCTGAGACACAAGAATCACTTGAGCCCATGAGGTGGAGATTGCAGTAAGCCAAGATCATGCAACTGCACTTCAGCCTGGGTGACAGAGCGAGATCCTGTCAAAAAAAAAAAAAAAAAAAAATTATGAAGGTCTGTTTCTTTTCCCATCAGAAACACAGCTAATCTACATTTCCCAGCCTCCCTTGTACTTAGATGTGGCCATGTGGCTGAGATACGGACAATGAAATGTGGGAAGAAGTCTTGGTTTAGGAAAACTTCTCATGAGTGTTCCTTTCTCTTTCTGTTGGTCAAATGCTGAAAATCCAGTGGAGAACTCCATGATCCTAGAGCCAAAGCCACTCAATGATCTCTTGGTGATTGCTGGTAAGACCAACCAGAAAACCTGCATTAGATGTTGCCTGAGGGAAAAAAGGCATTTATTGAGTTTAAAAACTGAGACTTACAGTTAAAGCTGTGTTATAGCAACTCCATTATATAATAACACAAGTGTTATAGCTAACGGTATCACTAGCTGCTATTCATAACTAATATAACAATGCTTTATTTCCCCTTGCTCATTTGTCTCCCATGTTTTAGTGCATAAACTAATCTCATAATTACAGTCTTCTCATAAAACACCATGTAATAAGGTAACTGGAATCATTAACATGTACATGATAAACATATGGCAGAAAATACAATTTTCCAAAATTCTAAAAATTATTATCTCATTTAATAATGCACCATTGTTTTGTAAATTAATTAGGATATCTCCCGCACTTTACTTTCTCACCTTAAAAAACCAAGCTGAGCAGATATATATAAATAGATAATACTCTTTAGTAAATGCAATACAAGGCTGAGCGTGGTGGCTCACACCTGTAATCCAAGCACTTTGGGACGCCAACGCACACAGATCCCTTGAGCCCAGGAGTTTGAGAACAGCCTGGGCAACATGGCACAACCCCATCTTTACAAAAAATACAAATATTAGTAGGGCATGGTGGTGCACACCTGTAGTTCTAGCTACTCAGGAGGCTGAGGTAGAAGGATTGCTTGAATCCAGGAGGTCGAGATTGTAGTGAGCCAAAATCGTGCCACTGCACACTCTAACCAGGGTGACAAAGTAAGACCCTGTCTCAAAAAAAGAAAGAAAGAAAGAAAGCTGGGTGCGGTGTCTCACGCCTATAATGCCAGCACTTTGGGAGACTGAGGTGGGCGGATCATGAGGTCAGGAAATCGAGACCACCCTGGCTAACACGGTGAAATCCCATCTCTACCAAAAATACAAAAAAAAAAAAAATTTGCCGGGTGTGGTGGCACGCACCTGTAATCCCAGCTACTCGGGAGGCTGAGGCAGGAGAATCAATCGCTTGAATCTGGGAGGCAGAGGTTGCAGTGAGCTGAGATCGCGCCACTGCACTCCAGCCTGGGTGACAGAGCAAGACTCCGTCTCAAAAAAAAAAAAAAAAAAAAAAAGAGTAAACGCAATACTGCCTTAAAAATGTTATATTAATGTGGACTTCATTCTAGGTATAATCTTATTTTAGCTTGACTCAGATTTCTTCCCACTCTCATCAAAGTAAATATATTTTTAAATTTATTTTTTAAGAAATTAGTAAATTTCAATCCCACATTTGTTTTTTGTTGAATTCCTTACTGTCTTGGTCATTCCCAGATGGGTGTACTGGTAAATGTTTAACGATCAACTCTTGAGGGAAAGACGCTATCTTAGCAAGTGATGCTTCCAAATTCTCTCACCATAACTGATTCAAACTACAGATGCAGAGTCACTGAATGTTAAATTGGGAAGAGATGTGCATAGTTGGCTCCTGTGAGCCAGTACAAGGGGCTCTATTGTACCACCAATGTCTAGTCTATAGTTTTCTCAACAGTAATGACACTTAGAATAAACTAAGTGTCTTAGTCTGTTTGTGTTGCTACAAAGGAATAACTGAGGCTGGGTAATCTTAAAGCAAAGAGGTGTATTTGGCTCGTGGTTCTGCAGAATGTACAAGAAGTATGGCACCAGCATCTGCTTCTGATGAGGGCCTCAGGAAGCTTCCACTCATGGTGGAAGGTGAAGGGAAGCCAGTATGTGGAGATCGCATAGTGAGACAGAGAAAACGAAAGAGAAGGAGATGCCAGGCTCTTTTTAACAACCAGTGCTGTGAGAACGAAGAGTCAGAACTCACTCCCTCCAGTGAGAATAGCACCAAACCATTCATGAAGCACCTGCCCCCATGATCCAAACACCTCCCCCAAGGAACTGCCTCCAATATCAGGATCACATTTCAGCATGAGACTTGGTGGGGTCTAACAAACCACATCCAAACCATAGCACTGATGTTTATTAAGCATTTATTATGTGCCAATAATATTTATCTGAATTTTTATATGCTGACATATAATATATTCCATCTTTACAATAAGCCTGTGAGGTTGGTGCTGAAAAAGTAAAAAATTGCCCAACATGTAGAAACTAAAAGCTAGGGCAATTGAACATACACAATTTTGACACACAAAAAAATTGTTTTTGTTTATGTTGTTGCACAGTATAAACAATGATCACACAAGGCCGTTGTGTTACCTGAGGTGGAACAAGATGAAGACAAGATCAATCCATAACTACATATGACACAGGAAAGAAATAAGGACACTCTACACCCATAAAAAAAAGTAAATACCCCTTTTCCAGGATAGTAGAGTGACTGTGATTTCTTACCAATGACATCCCCAGCCCCACTTTAATTCTTCTCCTGCCTCCTAAATAAAAATTCAAAAAAGTGACTCACACTCAGTTACTGAACTGCTCCACTTCCTGACCACACCCAGTCCAGAGCTGATATTTGATTCCCTTACACTCTCCTTAGAATAGTAAGCTTCTCCCAACCCCCCCTTACCTAGATGCCTTACTATTCCACTAGTGTTCATTCTCTCTTGCTGTAGCAAGTTTAATAAACCTAGCTTTGTTTGACCACAGGTGTGTTCCTAGAGGTCTTTGGTCAGCAGACTTTAACAGTGTCAGTAGTTTCATTTTACAGAAGAGAAAATTAAAGTTTAAACTGAAGAGTTAGGGAGCCTCTTGTTTGAGATAAGATTTCATACAAGAGATCACTTTACCTTCCTGCAAGGAGCAGATGATCTAGGCTGAACTTATAAGACATCGTCACAAAGAGCAAAATGAACTGGCTGCCAAGATAAGAATTCACAGATGGGTAACCCAGAGATTAAAATAGCCACAACAAGAAGCTATTATCACCCATAAGGATGGAGGGGCAGCGGGAAGAGCCCATGTTAGAGCCCAGAGTGGGAGGTAGAAGGGTGACAGTGGTCCGCAGGAAATGACCCATCAGGAGCTAGAATTCCAAGGGGAGAATCTCAAACCTTGAAATGGATGCAGCTATTGTAGGCAATGCTACAGGAAGCAGAAAGAAAGAATATCCTGGCCTCAGAGTTCCTCTTGAATTCCAACCTTTTG